TGTTTATGAAGGCTATTTCGATGACGGCAAGAAGGCTGGTGATGGTGTTTACACTCATGGGAATGGCGACGTTTACGAGGGGAGGTGAGAGGCTTGGACCAGCTCCTGCTAGGATAATAGTGCAGTTACAAGGAGGGGAAACGGCATGGTGTGGGGAGGTATACGATGGGGGACGCCGGCGGCGGTTACTACCACGGGTGAGATCCGCCTTATGGAGGCTTTGGTGGGTGGATCGTCTTGTAGGTCTTTCGCGAGAGGCTTGTATGATGGCAAGGGGACGATGATGTACTCGACGAGTGGTGATGTTTATAGTGGCGAGTGGAAGGAGGGGCTTCGACATGGTCTTGGCACCTACGTCTACCGGAAGGGGCAGGTGGGGTTGGCCGCGCTGGGTGATGGTGATTGTGATGGTGGGTAAGTAGGCATCGGTGAGTGGAAGGTGGGAAGACGATAGACTCCTTGAAGGGGAGTGGAGGCTATCACCCGATCACAACAGTCCGGTCTACGAGGGGAAATTTGATCCTAAGTGGGTTACCGCAGCATTCACATCTATACGGGTCGACTCTGTAAGGTTCGGTCAGCCCATAGGTGATGGAGTGTGGAAGCTGCCCTGTGGAGAGGAGATCGTTGGAAGGTGGGGGAGGAGGAGGAATGACTTGTCTTTTTCCCAAAAGTTTGTTGAAGGTACATTCAAAGCCACACACCATCGGATGTCACGGATGAGGTCGTCACGACCATCCAGTGGGCATCATCGAATGCTGCATGATAATGCTGTTATTGGTCATCGCGGCTGCACGTGTTTGTTCTATTAGTGGGAGGTCACTACTGGCCATGCTAGGGACGATGGGTGAAACACCTTCCTATCTCAAACTTGGTCCCGTCGGCTTAGGCCCAACCCAATGCGGATGGATCTTGAACCCGTCCACCCCGGTTGAAAGAGCCGGTACCATCTACGACTTGGGTGAGTATATAACCTCTTCACGTGATAGTAACGTACCCATCAACCAAAACGAATATCTCATATCCCTCGCTGTCATCATAAAGGAGGAGCTCCTACTCTTCTGAAAGGTTGAACTTTTCTGACCCTTTTATGAGCAATTCGCCTTCATGATTGTCGGGAGTTTAATTACAGCTTACGAACTAGTTTTGATGCTCTGTATGATGAAGTATTGCAGCGGGCTCACACAACAGTTGTTCGAACTATTAGCAGGTGAAAAAACTTCTTTTTCTGTAGTGAGGGACATTGGCTTTCCACCGTTTACAAAAATGTAAAGAAGTAAAGTAATACCACCAAATTTACGAGGATTTGTGATGATTAACATCTCTATCGGCATTCCACCATCAACTCAACCGTTCAACATCACCAACTGGAAACATCTCTCACCCGTCATACCCTGTCGGGGATATCAAATACCAAGATGATAATAATCAAAACGCATAGTAGACTCAATTTATAGATCATCCAATGCGGAACTAGACCGATACCTGTCTGGGCAACTGCAAAGTCGAACCCGATGGACGTGCGCCCTGACAACAGAAGAGTCGAGGAAGGGCTTGGGTTGAAGCCACTAAC